ACCCCGGCCAGCCGGTTTATGTATATGTTTTATGTTTCTAATATTCTTTTTCCATAAGGAAAACCAGCATTTTTATTTTATGCCCCTCAAATTAGAAACTTCAAACTTTCATGAAGCCTTGGAAAACCTATAACACTATCAATAATAGATATATTACATCAGGACTCCTAACACAGTTTGCATTAGGAGTCCAATGGTGGGACGACACGTGTCAAACGACCCCACCGCAATACACTGGCATTGGCCAGTGTCAAGAATGATGGGGCCCGCTTGACACGTGGCGCCCAATCATTGGACTCTGAATGTATCTGGAGTTCTGATGTAATATTTTTTCATCAAAAATATATACATAATCACAATTTTTCATTTTTATAAACAATCAAATGCACGATAATGTCGCATAAAAAGTACCATCATTTTAATTGTTGAAAAATGAAAAATATTTTTTTTTTCATGCATGAATAAGACGCAATAAATATAAAATTGAAGCTTAAATATTAGATATATAAATGCATAAAAATTGAGATTTTTATAACGTTTTTATGCATACCCATATAAAGATAGAAAGTATGACATAAATAAAGAACATATTAATTTTTAACATAAAAATTTAAGAAGTTAAATGATGAGGTCTTACAGAATTAAAAATTGACATACTGTCTTAATTTTTGTTATTTTACAAATGATCATGTCTTCTTCATAGCAGAATAAGACGAGATTACAATGCTAACAATTAAAGTATAGGCTTTTGAATTCTTCCTAGTAAAAATGATGATGATCAGAATATGAAATTAAGAAACAGTATGTATATAAAAATGATAATAGAAGTGGGACTCGCAACTACGTGCATCAGAAGAAAAACTGGTGTCAAGGAATAAAAGGTTAGAAGATGTCAATATATGCCCACAAGAGACATCAAGTAATTGACCTGACTACTAAATCTGTGCCAGAGGTTGTCAACTGTTGCCATAGTTTACTTTTGGCCACCACAACCAAAACAACTATTATAGCCACCAACTACAATTGTTAGAAGTTATAGTCCTAATTACCCTTATACAGTTATATTTGTTGGGTTATTACAATGCAATTATGATTTCAAAAGTATCTTGTAATCTCATTTTATACTTATGATTACATAGTTGATCATGTTAGCTGGGTCAGACCCCGTGATTTTTCTTCTTTCAGCTATTTTTTCACATAAAAAAAATCTTGACTTCTTCTTTTGATGTTTTTCTTTTATTTGTGTGTGTTTAACCTTCCTACAATACTGAGATTTTAAACTATCACTCTACTGCTGCAAATATTCTAACAGGAAATAAGATTTATAACAAGGTAAAAAAGAATCTATGCATTAAGAGTTGTATTTCACTTTTACAAAACTAGCGATATTTATATATTTTTTGTTTTGCCAAAGATTGGAGGGTTATGTATCTAAATATGAAGGTTTAAATGAAGAGTGGATTTTTATGTATGTTTAATGTATAAGAATTGTGGATAAGAATGTAAACATGTAAATATGCATGAATGTTATGAAACGTTTTAAAAAGCAACAATATTATATGAATGTAGATATGTAAATATAGAAGAGTTGTGTGGTATGTTTAAGATATATGGGGGGTATCACATTCATATAATTGTGATTTAAGTAACAGGTTTAGAAAAAAAAAATTAGTATTTTAAATATTTATGTATGTTTATTTCTAAATTTTAAGTAACTGAAAATTATTTAGTGTATTTTTAGATATTTTAATTTTTTAAAATATGTTAAAATAATTTTTAAGACACTAAAAATAATTTTTTAGTATTTTAGATATTTATAAAATAGCCTATAGCATAATAAAAAAGTCAAACTCACTTTATTTAAAAACAAGATATAAACCAAATAAAGTACAAATAAAAAATAAAAATAATCCCTGAGTGTTTAGGAAAGAAAATTTTTTTATTTTTAAAAAATAAAATATATGTTTTATCCAAATCAAAATATAAGTATAACTCATAGTTAAGGCGACCTCCTTTCTCGTGTTGAAGCTCCCTTCTACATTCCTTGAATCAGGGTCTTCGAAGCCGACCATCGAATGTGCATCTAACATTCATCAAAGTTGAGCGTTAAAGGTTCATCCTGCATTCGTCGAAGCCAAACCTGCACCAACTAAAGAAAAAGTTAAAAGCTTTTTTGGCGTAACCTAACAGGAGTTGAACCTGTTCGTTGAAGTTAATCCAAATATCTTTCTTCGAAGTCTCTATTCTTGTCCAGTAGAGTCAAAGTCGTTTTAGTCCTGTAAGTGTATATATATATATATATATATATATATTCGTGTTCGACTCATTTCTATATCAAGCGCAAAAAAAAATTGTTCATGTTTGGCTCGTTAACTTAGCGAACAAATCAAACACATGCCGAAACGCTAAGGGTGTAAACGAGCCGAACACGTTCGACTGTTAAAAAGTATCACTGTTTGTGTTCGGCTCGTTTATATTTTGAACATAAAAAGTGTGTGTGTTCGACTCATTTGGATAGCGAGCCGAACGAGCTCTTCGCAAACAAAAGTGTCGTTTTGACAATCTAATCATTCAGCTTTAGGATCTTAAGGGTTGAAGCAAGATTTAAACTTATTATTTATATTAAAACATCATTTAAATATAATTTAATTTATTTTTATTCTATTTTTTAATCAATAATTTTAATTTATTATAAATCCTTATACCCATGTAGTCAATTAAGTTTTTTTCAAAAAAATATTCACACTTTATTTAATTTGAAGAACAAATCGAGCACGAGCTTCTTAACAAGCCGAACACAAGTTGTTTGTGAATAACAAGCCGTTTTGACAACCCGACTGAACACGAACTGTTTGCAAATAATTAGCAAATCGAGCACGAGCTTCTTAACAAGCCGAACACAAATTGTTCGTGAATAACAAGCCGTTTTGACAACCCGACTCAACACGAATCTGTTTGCAAACAATTAGCCATTTTTAGAGCTTTAATGGCGTCTGTTCTCCGGACTCGGGACTCATTATTTTTTACTTGCTTTGAGTGCTGTGCTATGTAAAAGTAAAGATGTTATAGAATAGATCTAAGACCATTCTATATTAATTTGGGCGAGTTCTGGAGTCAGGTCATGGGCTTAATATAGTGGGGTCAGGTCATGGGCTTAATATAGTGTTGTAATATGGCGTCAGGTCATGGGTATAATACAGTGGTGTAATATATTGAGCTACTTCATCTTCTCATAAAAGTTCTGTCCATCGATTTTCAGCCCACTATTGTTAATGGTTTAACTAGGCCAAAATATATATGTATATATATATATATATATATAATCGAATAGTGACAAAAGAGAAAAATCATTGTGGAAGCTTTAGGCCAGAAAAAAAAAAAGGACATCTTATTTAATTGAACAGCTAAGTCATGACGTCAAAAGTCAAATAACTTATTACATTGGTTTAATGCATAATTTTCTTTTAATATAGGCATTGCTTGATAAGCATCAGTTTAGGGAAAATTTTATTTTCTATTCCAGTGTAATAAAATGATTGTAGCCAATCTTAATTAATCTTTAAATTACATTTTAGTGAATTACATATTAGTGCTGGTATGAACGTCAAAAGTCAAATAACTTATTACATTGGTTTAATGCATAATTTTCTTTTAATATAGGCATTTCATGATAAATAATTTTTTTCAAGCATTAGTTTAGGGAAAATTTTATTTTCTATTCCAGTGTATTAAAATGATTGTAGCCAATCATAAATAATCTTTAAATTAAATTTTAGTGAATTACATATTAGTGCTGATATGGCATTAATCTAAGTTGCTATGATATTATTCTTTGATATGTCATAAACTTTAATTTTCTTCCTTATCTTGAAGAATTAGAAAAAAAATAAGAGAAGATTCACATGCCCCCATCACTTCATTAATTTCAATCATTTATTAGAGAAAGAAGACAATACATGGTATGGCAAAGAAGAAATTTTTTAGAAGCATTGAAATATTCTTTGAGTTACAAATCAAAATTTAAGACTTTCAAACTTAATGTAAGATAAATAATACTTTAATTTTCTTCCTTATCTTGAAGAATTAGAAAAAAAATAAGAGAAGATTCACATGCCCCCATCACTTCATTAATTTCAATCATTTATTAGAGAAAGAAGACATTTTTACAATACATGATATGTCACAGAAGAAATTTTTTAGATGCATTGAAATATTCTTTGAGTTACAAATCAAATTTAACGCTGTTTCAAACCTAATGTAAGATAAATCATGTGAAGTAAATCACTTTAAATATATATAAACACCCCCATTATGTCAAGGATTTAGTATAAACATATAAGCAAAAAAAAAAAAAAACAAGAGAGTAAAATTAAAAGAACTATAGTTTCGAAACTTTATTTGTTTGAGTTCGAGAGTTAAATTGTGAAAATGAATTTAAAAATTTTTAACCTTATAAATTCTAAAACTTTTATCTAATAAAAGGTGTTCTCATCTCAATCCTCCAATTTATTATGCATTGCTATAATTGTATTTATCTATTTTTTAAATAATTTTCATTTAAAAATAATTAGAATATTAAAAAAATCAACTATTTTTATTGGAGTATATTGGAGATGCACTTAGAGGTACACACCGCTAATTGGCATGTACAAATCACCACATCTAATACTCTTTCCTTAAAATCACACTCACCGAGCTTCCAACAGCAGACATGGAGGAATCCAAATAAACTAACCAAATTCAAAGTTCCAAGTTTTGAGAAAACATTCAAATCGAAATACTGTTGGGGATCCCCTTAGCCGTGATCCCACCCTCACTGTAAGGAGACAGCAGCGAGTAAGCCATTTTCACAGGCCCGTTGCGGTTCTTCAGCCTGGGATCACCATTCCTCTCCTCAATCATCCTCTCAATCCCCTTCAACTTCGCCCCAAATCGGTTCAACGCATCGATCTTATGTTCATGGTGTCGCGGTAGTGTGGCAAAAGGAGCTTATTGATGGGGTGCATCGCGCTCAGGTGGCGGTTTGTGGCGATCACGAAGGGTTCCATCACTGCGTGAGTGCGCAGCCTGCCACGAAGGATTCTAGCTACAATGTAAACAATTCTTAAACTTATGTTTGATTATTTGATGAACAAATACCAGTGGCTAATAAGCTGATGAACGCAGGAGTCATTGATGATGACATAGGCTTTGGCAAGCGACCAAATTGAGCCTTCAACACCGGAAGTCATGGGCGTGTATACAGTGCTTATGGCGCCAAAAGTATCGCCACCTGGATGGGGGAGGCTAAGCTCAATAGCGAGGGGTTTCAGGGTGCTGTCATTGTTGAGGAAGAGCAGCGTTCGGGTGGCGTAGACCTTTCGATCGGTGGCATTGATTCGTCTTACAAATGGCATGATGGTGTCGTGATGATCGAGGATAAAGAGCTGTTAGGAGTTATGATAGGAAATAATTTATTCTTATAAATAAATTATTTCCTTAGAATTAGAGTTATGTTAGGAAATAATTTATTCTTGTAAATAAATTATTTCCTTAGAATTAGAGTTATGTTAGGAAATAATTTATTCTTGTAAATAAATTATTTCCTTAGAATTAATGAGATATTTATTTCCCTATTTTATGTTGTTTCCTATATCTCCTAATAATTAATGCGAATTAATTATTGGAGATACTAAGTGTTATACCCTTCCTTTCATATCATTTACCTTTTATTATTTTTCCTATTACAAGATTATTGTAAGGGTTATTTATAACCACATTCATATCAATGAAAAGGTGTGTATTCCACCACATTATTCTGAGTTTTAACAAGAGCCTGTTGGACTCGAGTGCCTTAAAAACCAAAAAAAAAAAAAAAAAAATGTAAATTTGCTCTGTTAACTGATTCAGCCTCTTTCACAGGAAGGTAGTTTAGCTGAAAAATTAGATAGGGGGTATTAGAAATTTGAACGAACGAACGAACTTGTTGGACAGAAAGGCCGTCTAGGTTTCCCTCGATATGCTTTAGTTTTATTGTGCTATTCTGGTCGCCGTATTGGCTGGGATCCAGCAGGCTGATTGGTGGGAATTTCTGTAAAAATTTTACAACATCAGCAAGCTTTCCTAAGAGCAAAGATTAGTTCTCATGGATAAAGCAGATTTACGAGAGCTATTATTATTATTATTATACTTATAATTTCTCTTTTTCTTTTTTTTTGTGATTCCTTTTTTAGATGGCTTGGATTTACTCCTATAATGTTAAGCCGAAATTAAGCCGTAATTCATGATTAAGCTTGAGGTATAACAATTTTCTGTACAACTGAAGTGATATTTACAATGTTCCAACACATGTATGCATACCATGCTTACTCTCTCCTATGTGGGCAAAAATATTACAGGCGGACTAATTAGGTACATATTATGTGTGAATAATAGGTACATGAGGGGATATTAGTCGTGGTATTGACATGCTACCTCAATATCATCTCAACGCCACGATCCGCACTTATAACGGGCGTACGTAATAATTGCGCCCTGAGTGGACATCACTTAATTGTCAACGAGAGCTATATTTTACCATAAAAAAGTTTATAGAAAAATATGTGAAAAGAGCGCAAATTCTACGAATCAAATATTCATTGAAAAGATTTGACTCGTCATGTATTTGATTATTTTGAGAATTCATATAGCCCAAAAAATCAACAAAAAAAATATTTATGCACTATATTAATAAGTGATTTATTAAATTTAAGAGAATGTCATCTTTTTTTATTAGGGAGGAATTATTATTATTATTATTATTATTATTATTATTATTATTATTATTTGCTAACCACAACATAAGATCTAAATTAATTGATGCTTATATCTAGGACATGTTTTTTAATTCCCCTGGGTTTGCCTCTCCACAAGCAACATGCAGATAGCCTCCATTCACATTGACATGCTCTTATTAATGTACAATTGGTTCAAGAAAATTTAATTTTTCTTAAGCAATTGCATCTCCAATAATCATCTATGTATATATGTATGTATGCATGCATATGTATGTATGTATTGAGCATTGATTAGTTATCAACAGATTTTATCTTTTAGCATAAATTTAGAAGTATTTTTTAGTAAGAAATATTCAAACCCTAAATAAAAATCATTTAGAATTTCTATTTCAGGAATTATAAAAGAAATAGAAATTATAAAAGTCAAATAGATTGGATAGACGAGACGAAGACAATAGCACCAAAGTCAGTCTAATCCGAGTCAAATCAAGCTCGGACTAAGTCATTAAACAACTTTTGTAAATTTTTGGTGGTTAGTTGAAATATCATTTGTATTCAAATCTAATGAGCTTAAATTAAAATTGAGCTTCTCAACGAGACTAATTCAATAAGCTCGGGGAGAGAAACTTGGACTAGAACCTGGATCTTAGAAGATGTAGCTGAATTTCAATATTATTATGCATTGAAGACCAGATGAAAGCTTATTGCTTCTGCAGCTACCTCCCGCAATTGAAATTCGTTCGTTGGCTGCCCCATGCTCTTCGTCAGCTATTGAAGTACCTTGCAGGATAATAAAGTACGTTACGACACAACAATGCGCCCTGAATATGGTGCAATGATGAGCACAATTTCGACATATGTAGTCAACTACAACCCACATGATCTAGAAATCATTACAACTCCCAACTCCGACATTTGCGACAAACAAATCACATTATTAAAACATACCACTATAGCCTTCATGACCAACTACAACTTATGTGGTCCATAGCTAATGTAGCTCTCAATGCTAACCTGTGTGGCCTGCAAACTTTATTACACCACACCACCACGATCTATGTGACCAGCTACGACTTATGTGCTCCACGTACATCATGTTGCAGCTCCCAACTTTGGCCTCTCTGAGGCCTACGTATGTTATCACACCTCACCATCACATCCTACATGACCTAATATGACCCACCTTATCCATAGATCATCACAGCTCCAAACTCGGCCTCTGAGACCTTTAAGCGTTCTTGGAGATCACCACTATGATCTTTGTAGTCCATGGTTTATGCAGCTCCAAACTCCGACCTATGTGGCCTACATACTTTATTGCACTTCACCACCAAGACCTACATGACCAATTATGGTCTATGTGATCCACAACTAATTGCAACTCTCAGTTTCAACCCTTGTAACCTACAAACATTATCACAACTCTCCACTTCGACTTATGTGACTAAATAATTAAGGCCTGAATGATTCACAACTCAAGCAGCTCCCAACTCAGACCTCTATAACCTATAAATATTAATACAACTGACCACCATAATTTACATGACGAATTTTGGTCTACTTGGTCCACAACTTATGAAGCTCCCAACTTCATCCTTTGTTGCCTATTGATATTATCATAACTTACCACTACAGCATATGTGAATAATTATGACCTACGTGATCCACAACTGAAGTAGCTCCAACTTTGGCCTTTTTGGCCTGCGAGCGTTGTCCAACTCACCACCATGATAAATGTGAGTAACTACATCGCACATGGCTCATAGCTTCTAAAGCTTCCTACAATGACCTACGTGGCCATTCAACACTCTTAAAACAACTACCTATGACATACATGGTCAACTACCATCACATCAACTTTCAACTATGATTTTTGCAACCAGTTAAAATTATTATTGATGAACTATCATTGTACATCAACTTTGTAATTTTGTCCTTCCTGATTCAAGGGAAGAGTGGGTTGATAAAGTGGATTATTTCAACTAGGTCACACTGTGTTGTTTTTTTCTCTTTCCAGGGTATTCCACATAAAACATTAGAGTGTTTTCTCTTACTTACTTCTTTTTTTTATCTATGTGTGTCGGATCTTTTTACAATACTAAGGCGTTAAATTATCATTATACTACCGCAAATTTTCAAGCATGCATCAAGTGTAGCATTTCTCATTTATAAAAAAAATTGTTGAATATTTGCCTTTGCTCTCATGGACTATGTGAGGGTGGTTGGATGCTTCATTTTCTCTTATTTATATGCAAAGCATGAAAGGAGGAAAAATGACAAAAAATTATTTGAAATATAAATAATAAAAAAGAATTTGAACATAACAATCTAAACTATTCTATATGAATTGTATTATAGAAATCTCTAGAATATTATATATGTGACATGTCTAGTAGCATGCCTATTTTTCTTTATATTTAACACTTATTTTTTATGAAATTATAATTTAAAAAAAGATATTTCCATGTTTTTGTTGGAGATATAAAGCAAATAGCTGGTTGGCGCCTGACGTCGAGAGGCCAGCTTTTGACGCCTTGGCGCTACTCCAAGACACCATGGCGCCGTAGATGGGCGCCTAGGCGCAAGATCGTGTCCAGAAACCAGAAAATATGATGTCATGACGCCACAGTTTGGTGCCAGTTATTTCACAGTCTTATTCGAGAAAATGGCGCCTAGATTCTGGAACTGCTCTTTGCAGTTTCTGCAGCGGCTATGCACGACATTGGAGGTTATAAGCTGGGAGAAGCAGTTCTAACAGGGGAAGTGATCATTTGAGAAGCCAAGGAAAGAGTCTAAGTGTGCAGGAAAGTAGAGTTTAAACTGAGGTTTTGTATTTTTCTTCATTTTCTTGGAGAGAATTGAGAGGATTTTGTAAATGATTGTTATAAGCAGTGCACGGAACAAATAATGATTATTTAGGGAGGAATTTTTACTTTTTTCTCAAAGAGAAAGATAAGTTTTCATTCTAAATTATCTTATATTAGTTGTAAACTCATTTTTCATGAATTTTTTTTATTATAAGATAATGGATTATTGTGTTTTCTACATGCACTGTGAGTATATCCTTTGTGCATTCCTCTTGTGATGAAGTAGTAGTATGTCTAGGTATGTGAATGCATTTAGAGTGAGCTCTTATTTATTATTATGATGGTTTTTTACGTCCTGCTTCTGGTCAATTGGTATGTTAAAATCTGTTGTGATTCCATAAATATCCGAGAGGGTTGTCGCTTTAACTACTAGTAGAAACCACATTACACTATTGGGTGAAGAAAAATTATCCTTAAGGCAGTGCAAATAGATATGGATATATATTTTGATGGAGTTAATTTGGAGGTTTCTAGCATGATAAACAGAAGCACTTACCTAGTTAAATCAAACTTCTTTGTGCACTCGAAAGATTGTAAAAAAAGAGTGTAAAAAAGAGAAATGCTCATATTTGTCACTAATTACAATCTATATTCTAAGTTTTTCATTCCTACACAAATTACTTATTTCATTGCAAGGGGAGAGTATTTTTCATAACTAGATCTTTCTTAACTTATTTAACTTTACTAAAATTAACTTTAGAGTAAATCTATAGGTTTAGTGATATTCTGGTAGAATTCACAAGCACAATTTAAAGAAATTTAATTTCTAGGCTAAGACTCTTTTTAATAGGCTAAAACTTTTTTTAAGATTTTAAAATAACAAACTTCCTTGTGGGATCAATACTTCGGACTCAAAAATCCGATATTATTTGAACGATATGTACACTTGGATAAAATATCTAGTGTGCAGTGCTAAATTGTGGAAAAACTCAAGTCATAAAATCTATAAAACATAAGCAAAGAGTTCAATATAAATTTATTACTTTCTTTCGAGTTTCTCTATACAAACAATATCTCTACCCCTTCTCCCCTATCCTCCACACACAAATAATTTTGTATGAGAAATATCATAATTTTTTTGGCACTCAAAATATAGATATTTACAAAACTAGCACCTATGAGATCTTTTTTAACGCGTTTCGGTGTGCCACGGCAGTTTTATAAAAATGATAGGTTGTAAATTGAATTTTGAGATGTTTTTTTGAGAATTTGAAAACCGGATTAAAGCGTGTTCTAATTTTATAAATAGGAATGCTTGGAGTGGTATGTATGTAATTAGAGAAAATATTATGGCCGGATGACTGTGTGAATAGATTTACCCGTAATATTTGGTATAACTACACCTAATTTTTTTAGCAAAGCCTTAAGCTCATTTTGAAAATATAATTAATTTGATTAAAAAAATGAGAATACCAAAGCTGCTGAAATTGACATTTTCCCAATCTCACATATGCATGTACAAAAAATATTACTTTCGAACATCATATGTGTGAATTAGAAGTATAAAGTGAATCACATAATCTCACCGTGCCTACAGTATGATACAATTCACTCCGTCATCAAGGAAAAATTATTGCATACATACACCGCATGCAAGCATGCAGTGTATGATCCTGACCGTAGATCACGGTGATCAACAGTAATGATGTATTTCGATGGGCGTCACTTTAATTTTTTTTTTTTTTAAAAAAATTTTAATTGCATTCTGATCGTAGATCACTGCGATCTACGGTCAGGATCGTACACCTCGTACATCTCTGCATGTGGTGTATATATGCAATAATTTGCGGCATCTGTACGTGCATGTAAGATGATGATGAACGTACTAGAATCACTCCACGTTATCGGAATGTATTACAAGATGCGATTCATATTATGATGCACATCTCAGATTAATCGAACGAAATATTTTCTCCAGCAGTAGAGAGCACAATACCTTGAGGCGTTGGATGATGACAGGGTTGACGCCGGCCAACATTTCCCTCGCAAACTCCTCGTCGGTCCTCCACGCCCACTTATCATCTTCACCATATAATCCCAAATAACTAATCAATCATCAGCACGCAATCCACAGAAAGAAACGAAGCAGCAGCGAAAGAATACAATTACATACTTTGAATCACTTGAGGCATCGGTAACTTGAGCAAGCTGCGCTGGCCTTTGCCGGGGATGAGGACGCTCTTGAAAAACCTGAATGGCAAGGCCTGGAAGAACTTGCGAAGCAGAGGGATGTCGGGGAGCTGCAGGCCGCCCTCGTAGAGGCTCAGCACATCTTTGAAGGAGACAAACTCTTTCTTCGTGAAGTTGACGACGGCCTGAAGAAGGGGCAGCAGGTCCTTTGCCACTGTTTGTATGCCGTGGCCTAGAAAGTCCGACCGCTTGACATGGCCGAACCGCTCGTCGCGGGGCACGTATATCTCAAACTCCAGCTTGCCAAGCCGGCTCTCCGACTTCGGATCTGCAGCAAAATCTTCTTGCTTATGAGCTGTAGCAAGTTTATGCAATTTACTGTAAACTTTTTTTAATATATATATAATTAAAATATGAAAATAATATTTTCTCCAAGGATTGAGCATTTGATAAAATCTATGTTAGTTATCACTCATATACCATAAATGGGATAGATGCTGAAACGGAGCAGAACCCACGAGTCAAGTGAAGCGGAATGATCTGTCCAATCGAGGAAGTTTCATTATGTGGGTTGGGGGAATCAGCGACGGCACAGCGGAAGCGTGGTGATCTAACCCACATTGGTGCGTAAGAAACTTCATAATATATTTCTTCTAAGGGGCTATATATTCTTCAAGGTGGATATTTGTTAAGTATATGCATTTCTCCTAAAGGGGTTGAATATTCGCAAAGGTGAAAATTTGTTAGGTATGACTCATAATACCAGAATTTGGAGTCTCTTTGAATGAAGAGATTTCTCTTAAAATTTAGTGCGTTGGGGAGAGCAAGGGCGAAGTGGAAGCGTGGTGGCCCAACTCACACTAGTGCATAAAAAACTTCATGATATATTTCTCCTAAGGGGCTAAATATTCGTCAATGAAGGATTGAGCATTTGATAAAATCTATGTTAGTTATGACTCATATACCATAAATGGGATAGATGTTGAAACGGAGCAGAACCCACGAGTGAAGTGAAGCGGAATGATCTGTCCAATCGAGGAAGTTTCATTATGTGGGTTGGGGGAATCAGCGACGGCACAGCGGAAGCGTGGTGATCTAACCCACATTGGTGCGTAAGAAACTTCATAATATATTTCTTCTAAGGGGCTATATATATTCTTCAAGGTGGATATTTGTTGGGTATATGCATTTCTCCTAAAGGGGTTGAATATTTGCAAAGGTGAAAATTTGTTAGGTATGACTCATAATACCAGAATTTGGAGTCTCTTTGAATGAAGAGATTTCTCTTAAAATTTAGTGGGTTGGGGAGAGCAAGGGCGAAGTGGAAACATGGTGGCCCAACCCACACTGGTGCATAAAAAACTTCATGATATATTTCTCCTAAGGGGCTGAATATTCATCAATGTGGAGATTTGTTGGGTATATGTATTTCTCCTAAGGGGTTGCATATTCGCCGAGGTGGAGATTTGTTGGGTATATGTATTTCTCTTAAGGGGTTGGATATTCGCCAAGGTGGAGATTTATTAGGTATGACTCATTTAACATAAACGGAGCAGCTGGAGTGGAGCGGAGCAGAGCCGACAAGTGTAGTGGTGCGGAAGGATATGTCCAATCAAGTGAGTTTCATTATGTGAGTTGGGGGTGCGAGGGCAACACCCCGCGGTTTAGTACATGAGTAATTAAAGTAATTACTTATTGTACAATAGAGTTATATATATATCATGTTTGTAACTCTATGTGAGCTCATGAGACTCCGACAGCTGAATCTTGTATTCCGTAATCTTTTCTGAATATTGAAAGGAATTCGCTGCTCTGCTCTCAAGAATGTAGGCATCTTTGCCGAACCTCGTAAATCTCTGCGTGCTCTTCTGAATTTGTGTCGATTCTTGTTTTTCTTCGCCCTAAATTTCTAAACAATCTATTAATGAATTGGTAGAAGTAAATAGTTAAATGTTAAATATGTTAATTTTAATATTTTGAACTCTATGTGTGTAAATCCTACCAAAACATAATGGTATATAGTATAACTTTAATAAACCATTTATGCTTTAATTTTATTTTTTTTGGAAGATTTTGCATTTATACATAATACTTATTAATTCCTATATACATACATATATATACCTAACACTAAAATTTTAATTTTTACATACATTCATCTTACCTGTACATAAAAAAGCCTATTTTACTTTTGAAAAATTAAAATAATAATAATCTTGATGACATATGAGAGATTTGTGGCATAAATATAAGAAAATAAATTTTAAATGTAAGATAAATAACTTTCTTATAAAGAGATGAAAGAATAATTTTCAAACACCTCCCCTTAGGCCCATTTGAGAGTGCAAATATAGTGATTGTAAAATGATATTAATGTTGTCATGATGAAAATAATTTTTTTCTTAAACAATATGTATTATAAATATTTTTTACTTATAAGTCCCTACTAAGTTCTTAAATATTTCAAAAAACCCCCAAAAGAAAGGTTAATTGAAAAAAGTTGTAATAAAAGAGAAGAAGTGTAATTAAATTTAATTAGTAGAGGAAAATTTGTGGGAATGTTTGCAAAACTAAAATTATGAAAAAGAGACCTAAATGCAGCATATCCCAACTCCCAAATACTAATCTCCAGCACTCAAAAAGGGAGCTAGCTACCGTTGTAGACGAGTCGAGTTGAGTTCCAGCCACTCTCAATTTGAGTTTGAGTTTGTTTAATTTTATCATGTTGAAGCTTGAGCTCGAGATTAAGTCTATGAATTCAACATGTCATGGAGCCTACTTGTGTATTATATAAAAATAAAATATTAATATTAATTTAATATTGTCTTATAATAAAATAATATATAAATTGAATAATAATGAGAGAAATAATAATAAATTATTTGTTATAAATATAAAATATTATTTTTTAAAATAATTTTTATATTTTAAAGTTAACGTTTTTTAAGAATAATACTTTTTGTGCGTATTTTACATTAATATTTGTGTTTGGCTTGTAGCTCAGCCAGCCCAGTTCAGGAGCCTCTTCTCGAGCGAAGCTCGTACTGGCTCACTTACACAGTTACACCACTCGAGTTGGCACGTAAAGAGGATAAGTAGGCGCACCAGTCTTTGACGGCGGACGGCCAGTCTTGCCCCGGCGGGGATATGGGAGCTCGGCGGAGCCGCCGAGCACTGGCCTTGCCATATCCGGGTTACCATCCGGGTTCCCGAGATCATTGTAGTACGCGTAGCTGTAAACGCGGTCCCATTCCTCGAGCTTTCGGTTCACACCATCTCCCCGAAGGTTTCGCAGCTCGTCCTGCCGGTAAGGCCGCAGCGGCTCCGGCGTGTGCTTCGGCAAATAGGGCTGCAACAGTCAGAGCTCAATTTATACAATTTTCCAAATTGCTATGTCAATATTTTAACATGCATGCAAGGTGTTCGACGAAATTACTAGTGGCGAGCAAGAGCTAGCGCTTACGTTGTTGGCGAAAAAAATGCGGTCGTAGGAGTACTTATTAGAGTTGTAAACCCATGAGTTGCAGTCGAAGTAGATCCGACCCTTTCCTGGGAAGTTCTCAATGGTGATAGATTTTAGGAAAAACTGTGCCAGGTGGCGATTTTTGACGATGACGGCGCCGGGTATCCCCTCGCTTTCGTTCACGATGAAAGTCACCCAGTACGTTTTCTCGCCGGCGATAATTTTTGGGACGACCGGAAGCAGCGACGGTTCCACGCACGCCGGCGGTCCTACCACCCCTCTGTTTCCGTTATCTATATATACGAACATGAATAGATCAGCATCAGCACTTACATATCTCCGGCGACTGGCTGGAACTTAAAAGGTTGATACTTTCTGTTGTTGAACTTAAATAAATAATAACAAAGCGTATAATTTAAAATACAAAATATTATTTTTTTACAATTTTAATATTTTAAAATAAACTTTTTAAATTTAATGTATTTTGAATATATTAAGCTTGGCTTATGAGCACATGAAGCTAAGATTGAGTACAAAACTGAGAAGGGGGGGTCATACTGGGATCTCCGACGGTGGCGCTGGCGAGGCGGAACTCGACTTTCTGGCCGAGGAAGTCTTGGATTTGGTTGACAATGGCGGCGTTGAAGTCGTTTAGATCGAGCACGTTCTTGTTCATCATCACCACCTTGGCCTTCACTTTCGCCCCCTTTTTTCCAGAAGAAAACACATCCTTCACTAGGTGGCTTATCATCTTGATTGATTTCTACTGTTTATTAAGAAACTTAGCAAAGAAGGATGAAGAAGAAGAGGGAGGAGCTTGGGTGAGTAATGAGTGCTGATCGCTACTGACGCGGTTGGGTTATTTGGGGTAGGAAGGAATTTATAGAAGCGTTCTTGCTGAAATAAATGTTTGTGACAGTTGCAGCATTGATTCTTCCTCGTGGCTTCAGGAGTTGTGAGGTCCTATCGTCAATGGCAATTAATGACTCTTGAATTGATTCCTACACTTTCATATTTGTAGCTCGAGCATGATGAGCGTTCAATCTGATGTTTTGAGATTTTTAATTTATTTTATTTTCGATCAGTATGAATATGCTACGATTTTAACAGAGTTTTAACTCAAGTTTTAATTCATGAATTTAAACTTCTACTTTTATATCAAATATTATTCTTTTTTTTTGTTAATTGTTTTTTTTTTATATGCAGCTCAATAATAAGAAAATATTAAGTCGCTTCTTTGGAACGGTGAGAGCAGTGCAATGTGACCAACTCATCCACACTGGGGGTGTAAGTGACTAAGTGAGTCAAGTAGAATTGAGAGCCAATTAGAGCTCAGCTCAATAAGTGGCTCATGAACTGGAAGCTCAAACTAGCCCTGACTCAACTATTTGGCCTCTGAGATGACACTCCTTTAAAAAAATATTATTATAAAATATATTTTAAAATATATTAAATTATAAAATTTTATATTTAAATTATTAAAAAAATATTAATTTCTTTTATATTTTATGTTAATTGAAATCTTGTTATTTCCCTAACAATTACTCAATTTATTTATCATTTTATTATAGCATTATATTAAATTTATATTACTTTCTCATTTTTATAGTATACAAGTCGGTAGGCTAAAATTGGAGCCGGAACTTGAGCTCGAACCCAATAAAATTAATCACGCTAAAGCAGAGGATGAATAGAGCTCGACCTTACTCATTTTCATCGCTAATTCAGGTACATTTTCGCACGTCCTATCATCATAATGTAGTATTTTCTTTCCAATAAAAGGCTTTATGCGCTTACAATAATTGATAACCAATTACTCCTTGTAAAAGCGGAGTGGTTGGATCCATGGAAAGCAAGGTTTGCATTAATGTCCAAGTGGTTGGAATGTTTTTATGATCTGTTCCTTCCAAGTATGTACAACTTTAAATTTACAATACATACATATATATATATATATATATATATATTGCATTCTAATTTTGGTGTGGAAATTACATTTATGGGTTGCTGATAATTGTTTTTTTTTTCACCGTTAGATACCTCATATTTTGTTTTTATGATATGCTCAAAGGTTATAATTTTTAAAACGTTAAAAATTCTACTTAATAACTTTTATTATATTTGATAGCTAGGGTGTGCTAGTTCTCATTGGTTTTTGTGTAATTTTGATTGGGCGATGATTATTTGGAGCTTTAGGGTGGCTAATGAGAATGGAGTGGAGTTTATGTGGTTGTCTGTGCTTGGTACCAGGGCTTTATTCAATGCTGTAATGTGAGGAGATGAAATACAAGTAACATAAGTGGGGAGGGGATAACTTTGATTATATTGTAATTTAACTAAAGAATTACTAGATAATCACAAGGCTTTGAGGACCTCACTAAAGAAGATCAACAAATCAATGTGAATGAGAAAAAGGCCATGAAGCCAATATTTAAAACGATTGAGCATTAACAAAAATACTTCATGAATGGAATACGCTTACAGGACATTTGCTTATATAGATAGAATTAGGCCTAAGGGAGGGAGTTGGCATTAATAGCTAGATATGGAAGTACTTGGACAGAGTTGCATTTTGAGGATCCGTGAGATGAATTGCGTTCAACTACATAAAAGTAAAGTAGAGTCACATTAATTTAAAGCAGACAAATCACCTACAATCTTACAGAATTCGGCCATGCTTGATTGGGAAATACAGTGGTTTTATTCCATCATGTATTCCCTGCCATGAAGAGCAAGGAGACCTCCTAGGTATGGAAGATGGATTTGCACTTTAATTAAGTATATATTGAGTCCAAACATGCGGCAGGCTGGCCATGCACACCTATGTAATGATTGGAGCTTGCGTTGCTTCTTTTTGTAATCCTATTATTATTTCTTTAAGGTGATAGCTGACCATGCAAATAAATTTTGGAGGTCCAACCCTCTATCATGTCCTCATCCTTGGGTTTGAACCTCTTTAGGTCATAAAACTTTATATGCTTTTTTGGTTTATTTTGCACTTGATTTTTTCTTGGTGCCAAATCAATATTTGTGATTTTTTATTATATGTTAAAATACTGTAGTAAAAAGGACTACATTTTGATAGGCCACACTATCTCATAAATGGGGATCAAGATGGGGCGGAGGAGATGGCATGTAGTTCCAAGCTTTAGAGGATTCTGGATCACGAGCACCGCTTGGACTACCGTTGTCCTTCTGGCACCGTCATTGCCTAATCTCCACCGTCAAACCATCACCGCTCAACTGCCTTTACTATCACACGACCTTTACTTGTTTGTCACCGCCTTCAGACCATCTACATGCCATTGACCATCTGCTCTTAATAGTCGGACCATTGTCACTATTGGAGTTGTCCAATGATGACAGCGGCCTACCGATTCGGAGCAGATGGTCATGGAGTTGTGGCCTGTGACATAATGACAACGACAATTGTTTTATACCAGCAGCGATGATGGCATCGACTGACTGACAGTGATCCATGTGTGATGGGTTAATCCAGTTGTCTCCAGGAGTTGTATATGTATGGTTTGCACTTTATGCTTGTTTTAGGTGGTTAGGATTTAGAGTTAGCAGTTATTTGAGTAAAGTTTATGTGGTTAGTTTTATTTTTAGAAAACGTGAGTTGTAATGTTAGTGGTGTAGTTATGATTTTGTATTTGCTTATATATAAGAAAAACCAGAAAATGATGTGTGTGTGAAGCATTAAAAAATTCTCTTTGTTTGTTTGTGTTTTAAAGTTTGTTATTGGCTTTGAAAAACCAAAATTTGGTATCAGAGCGAAGTTGTCAAAGCAATGGCCGGAAATGACGGAGGTCTATCTAAGACAGTTGTAGTCATCAAACCGACAGCAATAGAAGCCTCAATCCCGATCCAATTTCCAACGTTAAGCGAAACGAACTACGACATATGGGTTGTCAAGATGAAGATAATCTTGCTTTCGCTAGAACTATGATCAGTGATCGAAGGTGGATAAAAAGACGATCACAAAGATCAAGGCGCCATGGTAGCCATTTCTCAAGCCGTGTCAGATGACGTGATGATGACAATCGCGGAGAACCACACGACAAAGGAGGCATGGGACACACTCAGGGAGATGCGAGTCAGTGAAGATCGCGTTAAGAAAGCACGCGTATAGGTGTTGAAACGACAACTGAACAAGTTACACATGGAGGATTTAGAGACAACAACCGAATTTTTCATGAAGCTTACCACGCTTGTGGGTGAGATCCGCTCGCCGGGCACGAATTTCGACGACTACAAAGTTTTTGAAAAACTGTTCAGTGCAGCTCCAGATAGATTTCTCCAGATTATTGGAACAACTGAGCAATTTGGCATACTGAGAAAATGTCGATTTCAGAGGCGATAGGTCGTCTCAGAACCTTTAAGGAAGGGCTTAAACGGCGACTGCAATCAAAGCGCAGTGGAGAACAGTTACTCCTTACCCAGGCCAAGTGGGAGGCAAGAATCCCAAAGGCAAAGGGCGATGAAGGTTCCTACAGCAACAAAAGAGGAGGACGTCACGAGAGAAAACGTGGTCGTGGGTGTGGATATGGTGGAGGTCGAGGAAATGGTGAATGTAATAATGAAGACTGAAAACCACGTAACTTCGACAAATCCAGGTTTAAGTGTTTCAATGGTAATGAATATGGTCATTTTGCAAAAGAGTGTCCCAAACCAAATCGAAGAGAAAGAGCAACCTTGTTACAACGCAAATCAAAGATGAACCAGCACTGTTGATGGCCAAAACTTGTGTTCTTAGCCACACAATACAAACGAGCAGGTGTTACTTCATGAAGACAAGGTGGTGCCAAATATTAAAAGCTCCCGAGAGAAGGCTTGGTATCTAGATACCTGCGCAAGTAACCACATGACCGACTGTATCGAAAAATTTGTTGAAATTGACATGAAAATTAAAGGGTCGGTCAAATGTGGGGATGACTCGGCTGTGGAAATCCATGAAAGAAGTTCCGTTTTGTTTTAAGGCTTCACAGGTGAACATCAGATACTTACTAATGTCTACTACATCCCGATGTTGAATAGCAACATAATAAGCCTTGGTCAGTTAGATGAGAACAGATGCAAGGTTGAGGTTGAAGGTGGTGTTATGACTATTTTGGACAGATCACAAAGGCTACTGGCAAAAGTGAACATGTCAAGCAATCGGTTATATGTGTTTAACAAATCACCAGCTCTACTTGAATGCCTTCTGGTAAGAAGCAAAGAAGAAGCTTGGCGATGACATGCAAGATACAGACATGTGAATTTTCATGCTTTGAAGTTTCTAAGTCGGAAACAGATGGTGCACGGCTTGCCGATAATCGGGCATGAGGACCGCATCTGTGATGGTTGTTTGATTGGAAAACAACACCGAAATCCTTTTCTAGCAACGACAAAATTCCAAGCAGAATCACCTCTTAAACTGTGGCATGGAGATTTGTGCGGCCTAATTACCCCTGCTACTTATGGAGGGAAGCGCTATTTCTTATTGTTGGTTGACGATTGTACAAGATTGATGTGGCTGGTGTTGATCTGAAACAAAGAGGAAGCATCTGAGGCATATAAAAAGGCCAAAGTTGTAGCCAAAATGGAGAAAACAGTAAGCTGAAAGCTTTGCGCACGGATCGTGGTGGCGAATTCACCTCGAATGAGTTCAAGACTTACTGTGAGCTGTTGTGAATTAAGTGTTATCTCACGATGCCTTATTCTCCTCGTCAGAATGGTGTTGTTGAATGAAGAAATCTGACGGTGGTCGGCATGACAACGAGCTTATTGAAAAGTATGGGAGTCTCAGGCGAATTTGGGGGAGAAGCGGTATCAACTGTCGTATATCTCTTAAATAGAGCACCAACAAAGAGCGTTGTCGGCAAAATTCCATATGAAGCATAGTATGACCGCAAGCCTAGTGTCGATCACTTTCGTATTTTTGATTGCCTTGCACATGTAAAAGTAGTTACACCGCACCATCCGAAGTTGGATGATCGTAGCAAGCAAATGATGTTCATTGGTTATGATATGATTACGAAAGGCTATCGAATGTTAGATCCAGCGACAAACAGAGTTGTGGTGACACAAGATGCAGTGTTCGAGGAGGAGGAGAAGAAGTGGGAATGGAGAAAATCTCCAGTAATATGTACAGGATCAACAGGGAACACTCTTATAGCACACTATTTTACCGTAGCAGGCGCATCTAATACGACAAATCAGGAAGATAAAGAGGTGGTCAACAATTTTGGTATTGGTATCAACATTTCTGATATGAATTTCCCACAGCCGACACAGGAACAAACTGGTAACTGATACCAGCATGCTTCACCAATGATGAACATGAGATCTAGAGCATCTGTTTCATATCCCGATTCATTGACACCACACACTTCAGGTACAACTTTTGATGTTCTTGATGTTTGGCCTCAACAGAAGTAGTGCAGCCCACAACATCTGATGAGAATTCATTAGAAGAACCACGAGGTAAGTGTGACATCAAAAGCCTTTACGATGAAACCTTTCCAATAGAACTAGAGTATTCAGGACTGTGTTTGCTAGGAGTGGAGGAGTCATCAACTCTCGAAAAAGCTAAGCCAGACCCGATGTGGAGAAAAGCAATGGAGGAGGAAATTTTTTCCATTCGAAGGAATGAAACTTGGAAGCTCGTCCCATCACCCGACGGCCACAAACCTATAGGTTTAAAGTGGGTTTACAAGCTAAAAAAGGACAATCAAGGAAGAATTGTGAGGCACAAGGCGAGATTAATTGCAAAGGGGTATGTTCAACGACAAGGCATAGAGTTTGATGAAATTTTCACCCTCGTTGTTCGGCTAGAGACAATAAATTTGTTGATCTCTATTGCGGCACATGAAGGATGGAAGGTGCATCATATGGATGTGAAGTCATCCTTCCTCAACGGTGATTTGGAAGAGGAAGTGTATGACATTCAACCATCGGGATTTAAAATAAAAGGAGAAGAGCACAAGGTGTTAAAACTGCACAATGCATTGTGGGATTTGCTACAAACACCTAGAGCTTAGAACTCAAAACTGGACAAGTCATTGAGGACACTCGGTTTTGAGAGGTGTTCTTTAGAGCATGTCGTGTACATGAAAAATCAAGGTAAAGGGAATTTAATTGTTGGAGTCTACGTGGATGATTTAATTATCATTGAAGACTTTGATCAAGACATAGCAAGTTCAAATCACAGATGAAGAAATTGTTTAGCATGAGTGACCTTGGGTTACTAAGTTACTATCTGACAATTGAAGTATGTCAGAATTCTCAAAGGATTACACTCCACCAGTCGGCATATGCAAGAAAAGACAAATGCGGCATGAAAGATTGCAACCCTTCGTAAATTCTGATGGAACCTCGTCTGAAACGGAGCAAGGAAAGCATGGGTCCACCTGCAGACACAACTCTGTACCGAAGTATTGCTGACAGTTTAAGATATTTGCTGCACACGCGCTTAGATTTGGCATTCTCTGTCAGCATGGTGAGTAGATAGATGGAGAAGCCCACAACGCAGCACATGGCCACAGTGAAGCACATATTGCGATACGTGAAAGGAACTTTAAACCTCAGTTGCGTTTACGAGAAGAAGGAAGGAAGTTTTGAGTTGATCGGTTACTCCGATAGTGATCCAGCTGGTGATACTAATGGCAGGAAAAGTACCTCAGATTTAATATTTTTTCTTGGGTCAAGTCCTATTAGTTGGTGTTCACAAAAACAGAAAGTGGTTGTGTTATCTTCTTGTGAAGTGAAGTACATCGTTGCTTGTGCACAAGCGTGTCAAGGAGTGTGGCTGACTGTTGGCAGGTTTGTTAAAGATCGAGGTTATGAAAGTGGTTCTAAAGATCGATAATCAGTCCACAATTGTAGTTAGCAAGAATTCAGTTTAACATGAGAGGAGCAAACACATTGCGATTTCACTACATTAGAGATTGTGTTGAATCTAGAATGATTGAAATTCAACATGTTTGCACAGAAGATCAGCGTGCTGATATTCTGACAAAGTCACTTGCTAGATTGAAGTTCTTGGAGATGAGAGAGAAAACGGGTGTGCGGATCGTCAGTGAAGGACAACAAGCTTAAGAAGGAGATTGATGAGTTAATCTAGTTGTCTCCCGGAGTTGTCTATGTATGGTTTGCACGTTATGCATGTTTTAGGAAGTTGGGATTTAGAGTTAGCAGCTATTTGAGTAAAGTTTATATGGTTAGTTTTATTATTAGAAAACGTGGGTTGTAATGTTAGTGGTGCAGTTATAATTTTGTATTTGCTTATACAATAACAAAACCAGAAAATGATGTGTGTGCGAAGCATTAAAAAATTCTCTGTGTTTGTTTGCGTTTCAAAGTTTGCTACTGGCTTTGGAAAACCAAAAAGGTGTGGGGGGTTAAACGACTGTGATGTCAGCCACATGATGGAATTTTGGTGGCAACATCAGCCGAGCGATGGTGATATAGTGGAGGCAGTAAAGCAGTTTTTGAAGGGCTAGGAATTCATTGGATAATAATCTATTGTGAGAAGCAAGGATAGATTCATTGCGCGTAGCAAAACCGTCACAACTCTAAGAATAACCCAACCAGTAGGCAAATTTAAATGATTTATTTTCAAAGTATACATGCCAAAACTAAAAATTCCCCAAACATAATCACAACTATCTGTAATTTTTATAAATAATCGCTACGCTATTCCTCGACTTTCTCAAATTGTAAGTATTAGAGTGTTTGAATAAATAATATTGATTGAAAATAAATGAAGACTTTTAAGAAAATAAATTATTATTACTAACCTTATGGGGTGAATTTTGGGCGAAAATAATAGATACGTTTGCTTGTATGCACGATAAATAGTAATGACGCACGAAAAAGAAAATGATGGATGCATTCATCATATATAAACTTTAGGGTAAAGATATGCAATATTTTCTCCAATTTTAGGCATATAAAATCAAAACATTAAGAAACTTGTCCGAATTCCATGCTCACAATGCTCGAAGAAAAAGAAAGCACTATTAAAACTTGTATTTTGATACGGATAAGATGATAACTTGATGGTTGGGCACTTCTTACCGAACCATATACATATATAACAACTCATGTGGATGTCAACATTCGCCGTGAACTCTTTCCAAACGCAGAGTTCATCATCATCCCCACAACATAAAAAGCAAATTAATTCAACCCGTACATCATATTTTATACAGATGACGATAATGTAAGTTAGATTTTACAATCGTTTTGATCATCCAATCTTTCACATCCATTAATAATAATAACTTATCTCCCAACTATCACTAAGCCAATTCCACCTCCTTGGTTTTGCCATACTTACCATCATCCCCCTCCAATCCCTCCAACTCGGCATCTTCTACAAAGCGCTTCCAGAACCAGTGCCGCTTCCACACCCTCTCCGTCATCTCCTCAATCGGCACATTCTTCGTCTCCGGCAAGAAGAAGAGGACAAAGACGGACATGATGACAACCCACGCTGAGAAGAAGGCGAAGATGCCGTATTTCATGTGGCAGAGCATGGAGAGGAAGGCCTGAGCGATGACGAAGGTGAAGAGGAGGTTGGTGCACACGGTGACGCTCTGCCCGGCCGACCTCGTCTCCAGCGGGAATGTCTCGCTGGGTATTAGACCCAGAAGGCCCCAAGCCCACGCGATTGCCGAGACGAAGATGCAGACCATCAGCACCACCAGCACAGCCCAACCCTTGGCCAGCCCCTCCGAGTGGTCCGTAACTTTGATTCCCAGCACCACCGATATCACCACCTGCGAGCATGAGAGTCAGAAATCGAAGAAGAGGGATTGTACATGGACAAAATATAAAGGAAGATTTACATACATGCCACTTCATTAGTAATGCATTTACATGTTTTACACTTTAAAATTAAATTTTATACGAACGGCTTCAATGGGAGATCCGAGCAAAAATTCAAATTAATTTTTGAGCACCTAATGATCTTTGGTATAAATTTGCTAAATTTATACTTATAAGATACTGCAGTGCAGCGGTTAACAATCTGATTTTGAATCGAACTAAGGTTGGTTCGAGAGAAATTTAATTCAAAAATTTGGCTTGTAGATCGCTCATTCATTTCAATCCGATCTAAATATGAGCCAAAATTCGAATCAATTTTTGAGTGATTAAGAATGCTCAAGCTAAATTAAAAGCCCTATTTATATATATATAGAAGGTTTGATTGGTATAAGTGTAAAAAATCAAAGTTTAGGAGTTATTTTGTAAATACATATAAATATGGTTGTATGTACATAAATGCCCCGAAAACAACTAGCGCCAAAACTTTAATTAATTAAAATTTATATTAACAAATTTTAAAACAAATATATAACAAATTAGAACTCAATTTAATAAAAAAAAATGATAATCTAATTCGACTTTTAAACAGTTACATAAAAATAACTCAATCAATTTTTCATAATTATATATAATGAATTTCAAAATTTTAAATCTTTTTTAACATGATCCGTGAGATAAAATTAAAATTATGTTTGCATTAATCATAGCCAGACCGTTTGGTATTTACCTGCGAGAAGAACATCTGCACCCCAGCCTCGAGCAGCAGCGCTCGCCGGCCCACCCGATCCACCGAGTAGATCGACACCAGCGTGGAAACCACGTTGACTGCGCCCGTAATGACGGCGGAGTACAGCGAGGCATCGCTCTCAAACCCGAGTGTGTTGAACAGCACCGGCGAGTAGAACATGATGGCGTTGATGCCCGTGAACTGCTGGAAAATCTGCATCGCTATGGCTATAACAAGCTGCGGTCGATTACGCCGCTGGCAGAGATTGCGGAAGGGATGCTTAACCTGGCGAGCGGCGTGGCTGGCTTGCACGATTTCGTCGAACTCTGCGTTCACGTTGTCGGTGCCACGTATGCGGCGGAGCACGGCGCGGCCTTCATCGACCCGGCCGCGCTCGATGAGGCTGTTCGGGGTGTCGACGACGAGGAGGGCGCCGACGGTGAGGAGGAGAGCGGGGATGCCGGCGAGGGCGAGGGAGAGGCGCCAACCCCATGGGTGGATTCTGCGCGAGATGTTAGAACAATGTTATTTTTTTAATGTTTAGTAGGATGAAAGAGTTGTTATGATTACATACTTGGAGGTTCCGTAGTTGATTAGATTGGCGAAGAGGATGCCGATGGTGATGTTGAGCTGGAAGAGGATGTTAAGCCCGCCGCGAATTCTGGTGGGGGCGATCTCAGATAAGAACAGGGGCACCGCCTGCATACAAATAAATAAATTTAGTGTGTTAATTAATTATATAATTAAATTTTAAATTGATTCGGCATGTGACGGTTAATTAATGTGGGGGATTCATATGTGTAGGTAATTATCACAATGATATTAGCATGAAGGGAGGAAATTAACAATCTTGAAGATGGACAGTACTAAACATGCTCCATGCCGATGTTTGTTTTAGAATAGGAAATTACATCCCGGAGAAGAAACTAGCTTTATAAAATTCTAATATTTTATTCCAATAACGTAGTAGAAATTGAAATAACACAAAAAATATGTCGAATAACACAGCCTCAAATTAAGTAACCTCGGAAAATATTTCAATAACACCATAAAATAATAAAATAACACCACATAATACCCAAATAGCACTTCATTTTTTATAAATAATGCTGATGAAATATTTTTGTAATATAACTGAATATTCTTATAATACAGCGAATATTTGAACTGAACGGACATTTATGTTCGGAGTCCTGACGTAATATACGCTCCTCAAGAGAGTCTAATTTCTTGGATAGAGAGAAAAAGAGAGTCCCAATCTCCTATAAGCGTCCTTTTATTTTTTAGAAAAAAAGAAAAATGAAATTATATTCCGGAGAAGAAACTAGCTTAAGAAATTCAATTAATCAATTGGAAAATTGCAATATGATATCCAAATTATCTCGGGAGCATTTCATGTCATCCGCTCATGGCTTAGGAGACCTTTGACCGACTTGCCCGAAGTCCTTGACTTGGATGTAATTTTTGGAAGGAAAAAGCTTTCAGATGACGTTCCAATGGAAAATGATATCAAATGCGTCTTTGACTTTCATTCTGTTTGCATATCAAAAGCCGACCAACTACATCAAACTGAGGACCCACGTGATTTCGAAGAATTTTCATTTGAAAAGTACATCAAACGCTTTTATTTTATGGTTTTTTTTTTTTTTTTTTGCAAAAATGGACAATGATTAATTGGGAAAAATTTAGGAAATTTCATGAAATTTAGCCTTTAATAATAATATTATTAATTATAATTTCAATCTTTTGCAAACAGTTGATAATTTAACTGAATTATTTTACTAACAAGGGCATCTCAATTACATCCATACCACCCACTTTCAATGTATTTACATATCTAAACGCCAAAAGTTTATCTAACATTTACATTTAAATCATCCAAATATTTTATATCATATCAAAAATATTATTATTTAAAATTTAAAAAAAAAAACATGTTTTTTATGCATAATTAGGAAGGCATAAATACATAAAATTAAGTAGTATGTAGTACCTTTTTTTTTCTTTTTTTTTATCTGGAATTTCGAGATATATTTTAAAATGACCATCTCGGTAAAATAAGGATTTGGATTTGTGCATTGAAATCATGCATGTTAGATGCAGTTTAGGAATTTAAAATAAATCATGTTAATAAAACTAGGATTTCATAACATTTTATTTATTTATTTATTTCAAAATTTAAATAAATGTGAACGAAGGTAGTTCATGATCCTATTTTGAGCCGAGCTGTGATTTGCTTAAAAAAAATTTAATCGAAATTTTTTGGCGTTTATTTTGGCCTGTTTATTTCAACCCGATCTCAATCTGAGGCAAAATTCGAATCAAATTTCAAGTGATAATCGATCTTCGAGCTATATTCATTAAATAGACAGCCCTAGCATCACTATAGATGTTAAAGATCCAAAATTTTAGCTCTTAGCTCGCCTTTGTTATCCCGACCCGATCTCGACCCAAGCTAAAATCCAAATCAATTTTCAAACAAGTAAAGATCTCGAGTTAAACTCACAGCCCATTGCAAACTCATCAAATTAGAGACGGATGAACCTGATTAGCGAAGCCGACGCCGCAACCAAGAAGAAGACGACCAACAATGAGCATGCCCAAATCCTGCGCAGCGCCATTAAAAATAACGCCACCAATGAAGAAGAAACCGGCGATGAGCATGGTGAGCCGCCGACCAAGCCGGCGTGTGGTGTAGGAGGCGAAGAAGGTGGCGGTGAGGCCGGCGAGGTACAAGGAGGATGTGAAGAGCTGCAAACCCTGGTTATCATATTTACAATAGTTGCTCTCTAACCCTTTTTCATTCTTCTTTCTATACACCTTGGGGAAGAACTTTCTCAAAAAATCATTCATTGATGTCACACCACCTGTTCATAATGCAATTTTGTTAATATATAATTATATTATATCATCTTTAATTTAAGAATTATAATATTTAGAAAGTGTGTGTGTGTATGTATATATATATATATATATATATAAAGTTTTTGTTTTCCAAAACATTGGGATGGATGAAATTGGACATCTTTCTAGAGGCGACAACGATGATGTTTTTGTTTGGAAGTCATGCTTGATTTAATGTTTTCATTATATCAATCTAAAGTTTTCATTATTGACTTTAAACCGCATGGTCTAAAGTAAGGAAAAAAGACACTTGTGATATGTTTTTATCATGTATAAAATACATTAATGTGTATATCAAAAATCATTAAGGGCCAAATTAAAGTTCGCACTCAACAGACATCATGGGCTTGGGTTAGCCTAACTATCCATAAGACATGATTTTTTTGTCGATATGATCCGTTTTTGGGACATGCCAACCCAATTCGTAAGTGTGCATGTTGTCTTGCACTTGCCTGTGAGCTAACATGACTAATTGTCTTGGCGAACTAGTTTGCCGAACTGGCTAATTAACCTTTCAACATGATGAGTTCACAAACCAAACTTACTAGTCTACCTCAAATTCTTAACGATCCTCATAATTATAAGAACGTAGAAGTTAAGACTGGCACCAAGGATTGTCAAATATTTAATTTATGACTGTTGCAATTAGTTTAAAGCTTTTTACATAATAATTTATTCTCCACTAACTATGTGCATAAGGAAACAAATATCAATTTCCTATGAATACACATAACTTAATTAGTCTTATCTGGTTTTATTTTTTCTATGATTTATAAGCCTTTTTTCATATAAAATTTGTATTTACATTACTATTATTTTGTCCCTCTGAACCATACATATGAAAGAAATTAACACATTAAGCTTATAATATTAATGCTAATTTCAAATAAAAATATTTTTCTATGATTTATGCTTATTTTTATGCTTAAAATTAATAAAAAATGAAAAAAAAATATATAGGATTTAAGATTAACATACATGCTGAAAATTTCTATGTATTTTCGTATCAAACGCCTAAACTTTAATAATAATTATAATTTTGATGTGATAAGAAAGATTTAAGTATCAAAAATATAAAAATCAAAGTATAAAATCTAAATATGTCAATTTATGAGAAATGAGTGGTATGCATGTAAATTTGCTTCTCCGCCCTTTTGCCTACGACACTGCATGCAGAGGTGCAGATCTACACCGTCGATCAAATTTTAAAAAAAAAAAAAAAGTAAAAAATGGGGTCATCTGAAATACAACTTTCCGGTAATCGACGGTGTAGATCAGACACCACAAACATCTCTACATACGATGTCCGTATGGAATAATTTTTACCGAGTCGCCTGGTCAACATTTGACATTTTTAATCAAAACTACATTTTTTTTCTTTAGTCATTTTCAAACTGAGTTGGAAATTTCGTGAAAGTAACCTCTTGAAATTGTCATATTACATATCTTCCAACCAACGACCGAATATTTACACATTTATGTGTTAAATTAAGCCAATGACATAATCATGCAATTACAAACCAAGCTTAAGAAAAGGACATTTCTGACATAATTCATTCCAAGTACTCTCTCATGAAATCGCCAATTTTAAAACTAGAAAATTTTCATTGAAAAAAAAAATTAATTTAAATTTAATTCTTAATTTTTTATTTATTAATTTTTAAATAAAAAAAAATATGAGAATCTATCTATTAATCATCAATCAAACTCATATGGAGCAAATTCGACAGATAAAAATTCATTTTCAATACAGAAGAAGTTGGTGTTAGTTGATTCAAAGCAATTGATTTGTTAAAGTTATCTCTCAATAAATCTCCAACAAAATAAAGACAAAATTATATGGTACGTGTTGCACGTCTGGACAACGGCGTCGGAGTGTGATCAACGCTAGATGAAGGAATTAAGAAACTCACCGGATACGCCAACATCATATCCGAACATAAGGCCGCCGGTGGCCGCCATGATGCATGATATAATGACGATGGGAGTAATCTTTGCTTCGAACTCCATCCCCGACGGGGCCGACACGGCGAAACCTCCGGCCGGCATCCTCGTGGGACAAGAAGAGATGCTGGCTGGGAGAAATAGGAACTGGGGGACTTATCAATGGATAAAAACTATCTTATTTGTCTAATAAGCTTAGCTTCCGAATGGAGAAGCTCCAGATCAAGTTGCGCCTTATATAAGAACAGTAGCAGTTCTTATCTGCGGGGCTCCCGTGAACGACCAGCAATCAGAACCTGACACGTCGGATTTATTATTAATGATCCATAATCTTAAGACGATCTTCAGGTCGGCTGGGGAGTCAATTAACGGCTCTCGTTGGATTATATGTTTCACGCGAGGATGTTTATGTTGAATCCTAATTTGTCTTTTTGTGAGCACAATCAAAGAGTCGAAATCGAAAGAGAGTAAGAGCGCACAGTAATTTTTTCAATAAAAAATCATGAAGTCCATTAAAGAATATGTGAATTGTTATGATAACCGTCATTAATAAAATTAATGTGCATAATTTGAATTAACGATGGTCATAATATTGACAAAGAATAACGGTTTACATAATACGGTGAGGGCATAATCGATTAATCTGAATATATTGTTCATTTTGTCAAGAGGTCTAACTGATTTGCTCTACAAGACATGTTACTTCAGCCAGTCAGTCAACTAATGGGTCGATTTGTTTCGTCGGATGAGTCGTGACTCATTTGTTATTTGGCTCAAGTCTTGCATGACCTGTGTCTCGTTTACCTAGTCAATTCTTCGTCTCGATTGGTTCTTCCCTCTAGCAAGAACTTGGGTGTATTTTGTCGCTACATATGCAGGGTATCCAACAAGACTCATTGTTGGGATGACTTGCATCTCAAAGTTTGTTAATTTTTTCACTACCGAATGAGGAGCCATCTTCGGAGTTTTGACATATCCTAGGTTTAGAGGCGCGGCTCCTCATGCTTAGCATTGAATTGTCGGTCAATCGCTTCCCTCGGAGGGAAGCTTTGTATTCTCAATCGTTCATTTTCTCTGAGATTCATGTTGGTAGCTCTGGAATATACAATTTACTTTAAGAAAAAAAGGTTGATGATAACTTTGCTGCCATATTACCGATTGTGCATATAAATTTAGGTGTTAGATATATGAACGAACAAAATTTGTGTGGTATGTAAGTCCCACAAATAAATAATGAGGTGAGAAAGGAAAACAAGAAAATTGTCGAAGATACGGCTGATTTTTTTATTTCTTTTTCTTAAAAGTCTTCGGCCATAAATAGCACGTGAGCTGAAATTTATTTTAGTTTGAACCGTAAAAGAATTCGTATTGCAGAGACTGTCAGATCACCGTCCATCATGTGACGGACGGTGCACACACATTTCTTACAGTGAAGTGTTTCCAGAATTTTTTTCTCGCATACAGCTGACAACTTGCAATACAGTTTCAATATTTAATTGCTTTAAGGATATTAAAATTGAATAATATTAAAATTATTAATTTTTTTTTATCGGGACACTCAATTTATCTTTAAACATAACAAATTTTAAGATCATTTGGTCTTCAATTAATGCACAAAAATCTATTCGATCTAACCTGATTTGAACTTGAATTGAATCACTTCTAGTGCTATTAAATCCGTCTAGTCGATAAGCTCAATTTTACTATAAATTTGTTTGAATTGAAGCTAAAATGATCATGAAAAATTTATGTTTGTGCTCGAAATATCTCTGGCTAAAAATGCTCCAAGTGATCATAATTGTTTGATTTCTTAACATGTTGAAAAACACATTGCTTTGGGAACTTTTGTCCTTGATAAAGAGTGTTGCTGTCAACCCGTGCTTATAAAAATCAAAGAAATTCCAACGATTTTTACTAATAATGAGGCTATATATATATATATATATATATATATATATCCCAATGCCATCACGAGACTTGACCAATTTCCAAATTTGAATGCATATCATGAGAGATAAAATCTTACCACATTAGTTGATTCGTACAAAAATACTCACGATAAAACAGCTTTTAAGACTTTGAATGAATTTGTGGTCACGTCTCTTCTGTGACGGTTGCAATAGTGGCCACCGCTATTAATTGGATAGGAACAACCACGACTTTATAGCAAAAACAGGCAGAACAAATATGCATAGCAAGTTCTTTTGTTAACCTTAATTAAGGATGCGGTGACAGTAGCTGACACTCAAATACACCCCTACTTTTCAACAAGCATTAAAAGATTCAATGAAACATTGGATTTATATACATACCTCACAATTGCTATATATTTACATTTCGAACACCTAAAATTAAATATTTATATTTATAGCACTTTTAGTGTCACAAAAGCATGCATGAAAAAGATAGCAATAATAACATATTTGATTTCATTGTATGTTGATGCCCAAAAAAAAACATCAACCAATAATGAAAAGATTAACAGAATAACCAATAAACTTGACGAATAAATTACTGTATGGTGTCCTCCAATAAATGATAATAATGTATCACAGAGCAGAGATTCTCAATCTGAAGTTATTAAGCAAAAAAATATCATATCTACAAGAGAACAAGCAGAAAGAAACGAAGAAAGGCGCATGATACATTGTCAAGCATAGGAGTAGATCAGCCAAAGTTTAAGTTTAAAACTAGTTACGAAGTCGACTATTGAAACAAATTATTACTCAAAATAGGGAATGTTCGGCATTACATTTCACACCTCATGCAGGTGTTGTAAGAAAGTAGTCCCTTGAATAGACACAATAGTTGTTCGGCTAGTTGCCACCCCTCAAAGCTAGAACGAGATGAAGCACAGAACCTCCTTCAATGTTGTATTCCTTGGCAGTCTTGTCATCAGCCAGCTGCTTTCCTGCATAGATTAGCCTGCAAATCAAATAAATGGGAACCGATTAGAAGGTTCAATAAAAAGACGGAAGTAACCAAGTCATGAATAAAGAAAGTCATTTAAACGAGTGAAAAATCATGCAGGTTTGGTTAAGCGTATAAAACAAATTCAACAACAGCAGCTGATGGTCAAGACAGTTGTATGATTAACACCGCTTTGAATCACCTTTCAGGCCTCCTCTTATGTGACCGATAGCTCTCTCTCAGACATCCCACTTTTCTAAGTACCAGAGGACTCGTGCCACCGACAGAAATGCGGATTATAGATAAAACACTCAACCGCTCAGGAAAATGAGGGGAATGCAGAAAAGCTCTTACCCCTAACCTACTCCTCTCGAAGAAGTTGTTCAAAAAAGTTACAGCGACTATTATAATTTTTTTTTTTTTTCAAATAGTCAGATTGCAGCTTTTTGGTAGCTAATGCACTTAGTCGAGTCTGGTTGTAAAACACAACACTCCCACCACAACTTCTTGAGAAAAAAGTCAAAACATAATTTTGTCAAACAAATAAGCGGTGAGATGTGGAACGCACCTCTACCGCTACCCCAAATGGGCCCCTAAATCTACAGAGATAACACCGTGATATATCTACAAGCTAGCTAAAGTTATATTATTTTTTATACAATAAATTTTCTAAAGCAGAAAGAATGAAAAGGTGGCTACAAAAAACTTAGGGACCGCTTGGGATCGCTTATAGTTTTTATTTTTTGTTCATCATTTTTTATTTTATTGTTTATATTTTGATTGGAAATAAAATATGATTAATTATAATGGTCGTTTTTAAGAACACTCAAAATACGCTAAAGTTATTTGGGATGTTTTTAAAAATTAAAATTAAAAACATGCGAAAAACACTAAACAAACATATATTTTAAAACAAGAAAAAAACAAAGAAGAAAAACAAAAAACCATGAAAATACAGCTTCCGAGAATAAGCTCTAAAAGAACATCTTCTTAGGTTATTGCATTTATTGACTATATAAACGACCTCACATAAGCTCTAAAAGAACATCTAATACAAATAACCATGAAAATGCAGCTTCCGAGAAAAATAGAGCTGAGAGAGGACTACCAAGCCATAAAAGAAATCAAAGTCAGCACTAATCTTTCTTGAAAAGAGTACAAGGGGTTCAGTCATTGCAATTGAAAGATTTCCTCAATAAAGTGTGGGTTATCATGTACAGCTTCACAGAAATGGAAAGTTTAATGAACACATTAAAAGATTAGAAAGAAAAAAATACTCCTAAAACAGTTACATAAAGAAAATACCTTTGTTGGACAGGTGGAATCCCTTCTTTCTCCTCGACTCTTTCCTTGATCCTATCGATGGTATCAGTGGGCTCAATGTCAATTTCAATTTCCTTTCCAGTAAGAGTCTTCACCTTGATCATTGTTCCACCTCTAAGCCTCAAAACTAAATGGAGAGTTGACTCCTTCTGAATGTTGTAATCTGCTAAGGTCCGACCATCTTCTAACTGTTTCCCAGCAAAAATCAAACGTTGTTGATCAGGTGGAATGCCTTCCTTGTCCTGCAGCACCATAACAATGATTTTATCAATATTTAATGCTAGCAGCCCTCATGAAACCCCTGATGAAGGAGAAATGGCAAAAAAATTATTACATCGTACTTTAGATACTAAAGATGGATTTTGTATTGTATCTGCAAATCATCATTTGGAACAAATAAAAGCCCTTCTAAGAAAGCAGGCGATGAAGATTTAGACTGGCAGACCTACAAGCTAATGCCAAACACACTGTTGGCATCCTCCGAGTTCAACAGTTTCAACAGAGTCAAGTCATAGGTTTGAATCGATTAACCTGGTTTATAATACAAAAGTCATCATCCAGGCCAAAGCCTCTTCCTATCAAACAAAAGCCTAAATGGAAAGTCCAAATAAACAAGTGTAAAAACACAACATATGTTAGTACACGTGCTAGCAAACATAGTTGCATACACCCACTGTTGTGGACATAATTATGAACTTTTTTATTATTTATAATAGATACTAAAGCCATTTATATTTCCAGCTTTATAATCTTTCATGACATTTTTTGTCTAGCACTAGTTTGTGGGAAATTTGCCGATAATTTATTAACAATTTATTAGTAATTTTTTCATCATTTTGTATCTAGAAATAGATGTAGATTGGAGCGTATGACTTTATAACATGAACAAAATTTCATTAATGGATTCTGAACGTTATCAAGTGCGACACCTAAAGCTCTTATAGAAGAGGTGGCCTCTTGTTCAAATGTCCATCAAATGAAACTGGGTGGGCCCCACCAAATAGGCCTAAATTATCTCCCTCCGCAAAAAAGAGAAAAAAAACTCCCATACATCCTCACCTCTCAAATGTAGTCACACATTCCCCTTTCAAACAATCTTCACTTAGCTCTACAGCAAATTAAAGGGGAAAGATGAAGGTAAAAGAAGAGTGCAAGAAAGCATCATGAGATGATGAAGCCCTATCACAATCCTACCACAAAGGAATCTCACCAAGCTATAGGTATTCCTCGCAAATGCTAGCAAGATAAAGCAACCCTTCAATTATGTCTTACTTCTCATACTATTTCTCTCTTTTCATTTCTTCTTTTTGAGTGTGTGCGTGTCCAATTGGTAATGTTTATGCTAAGCGTTCTTGGGGAACTCCTATTTCAACGTCAATTTCAACCAACAAACCAACAACATGCATCTTTATTTTTGGGTGACAAAGGATTCTTCCACCTAGGCTCTTTGCTCAATACTCATAGACACATTTTAGCACAATGGAAGCCCATATTACGTCACTACCTCACTCATCACCTATACATCTTCCATGGAATGAATTCAAGTTGGCTCACCGGTACACTGTTTACCATCAAAGCTCAAAATTGGCATAAAATCTCATCATAATCCTTGATATTTAACTATTAGATATTGTACCCATTGAGAACCCCAAATTAGTAATATAAAGTCCTAAAAAAGCAGAAATCTCTAGGTAATGATTCATTCAGTGCTTAATATACCTTATAGAAGTTTTTTTCTCCCCCCTCAGTTAGCATGAACCAAGGCCCTCTCTCAAAGTATACAAACCCTGGCTGCAATTTAAGGTTTGTTTGGGGCAGCTGCAGCTTATCCAGATTATGCTGATAAGCAGATTATCCTGATAATCTACTGATGAGCAGCTGATCCGGATAAGCTGACTGACTGTTTGGTTTGTGCGTTTGAAAAACAACTGATTTTGGATAAATGACCATTCTGCCCCTGTTTTAGATAAGTTGTTTAGTTGTTTGGTGTGTTCGTTTTGCAAACAGCTGATAAAGAGACTACTAAGAGTAAGAGAGGATAAGCGGGAGATGTATTGTGATGAACAACTATAGTGAGAGAGATAGGTTGAGCTTTTTTTTTTTTGGGGAAAAGAGAATAGCCAAGATCAAACCATATAAGAAGAGAAAAATGTTGAGTGATTTATCCTTGATTAACTAGAATTCACATGAATAGAGTATCTGGGGCAAGCTATAATGGGTAAGAAGAAAATACTAACTATAAAACAAGAAAACTGAAATAATTCTTCTAGTAGCTTATTATGTGTACATTCACACAAGCTTAACATACATGAAAATTTTCATGTTTATTCTTATGCCTATACCCTCTTGGATCAATGGCAATCTCTTAAATGAACTTTTTGAAATAAAAATAACCTTTCTCTGAATGATAAATATTTCGTATTGACGCTTTAAAGGAATTCTGATCTCTTAAATATCAATCTCTTAAATAACCTTTCCTATAAATCAAAACCTGATGTTAAACAGTGAATTCTGGTCTTCTATTTCGTATTGATGCTTTAAAGGAAAGATAAAAGAAGTGCCAGCATAGGAGAGAGGCGTGAGAGCAAATATCAAGAAGATGCGGAGATTTGCCATGGATCTAGCACCGTCGCAGCTCACTCTTTTCTCCATTCTTGATCGGTAGATGCAGGGTATGTTCCTTCGATCTAATACCCCATCATTTCCTTGCACCAGTCGCGGCTGTCTGCGAGGATTTCGAACAGGAGAGAGGAAGGAGAAACTGCTGCTATTTGCGATGGTTTCGGAGGCGATGGTCCATGATTTTGATCGCCAGACACAAGGGTTTTGATCGCGTGAGACGCAGCCGAGATAGACTAGGGCAAGTGGGTAAAACAGGCGTTGGAAACACTGGTTGCGGGGTTATACCCGCGATCACGTTTTTGCTAAAATAAAAACGCAGTTCTTAGATAATCAGCCAAAACGTGCAAATCAAACGGTACAACGGCATTTTCAAAAACGCCGTCGCACTTATAAGCTGCCCCAAACAGGCCCTTAGTCTTATAGCTATTCTTAGGTAGAAGTCCTATGCGTCAAAATTAAACAAGAATCACTAAAAGGTACATGATCGAGTTCTTGCAACCAAAATTTGAGATGTTGACACAAACTAACAATTTTAATTTAAACAAACATGATCCAACATTGGCAACCAAAATGTAACAGCTACAGCTTTTTGCCTTCGGTTTATGTTTGCATAACTTAGATACATTGTATAACTATGGTCAACTGTTATGCCAGAGGTTTTACTGATGATGTACGCAAATTGAGAATAATGCCCAAATTTTCTTGAATAAGCAATCTAGAAGCAATTACAAGTTAAAGACAAAAGAAAAAAACATAACCAACAAATCAAAAATAGAGTCTGACACATGTTCATTGCGTGTCTAGCAAGTCAATGTACCCTACACATGTTGAAAACAATGCATTTTATTATTTTGTAATGTCATCTCAAGCATCATAGCTCATACATATATAAAAAGTGATGAGATTGATGACAAAAATTCTTCTCATTATGCCACATTTATAATGTCCTAATTCTAGTTCTCAAGTTAGGCCCAAAAAAAGACTGAAAAACAAGGAAAGAAAAGAGGATGTAAAGAGTAACAGAAAAAATGTAACATCCAAATAGCGTAAACTCTAATATGCCCATAGAATAAACTTTCTTCTATAAAAATTAGAATAAAATGATAAATTTGATGGATTGGATGCAGGCCAAAGAGAGCTGGCATTATATGAGGTTGCAACAATCAGAGAGAGGACGCGCGTGGCATCAAGAATGGGCAGGGTGTCATAATTTCCATTGCCATGAGAACAAATTCCCTCTTCATTCACTGAACTTTTTCCTTTAATTTGGCCAGCATACCTTCAAAATATCACAAGATACATAAGCATATTGAAGAAAAATTGGCCAGTGTACCTTCAAAATATCACAAGATACATAAGCATATTGAAGAAAAAGCCGGGTGGTGATTGGTCTTCTTGTTATGTATGTACTTCTTTTCTTCTCCATGATTTGCATTGTTGTTTCCTCTAATCAAAGTTTAAGAAGAGGAACATGGTTTTTCCCTCACTTCTCCCATTCACGTTAGCATATACATCAGAGAGAAAAGGGGAAGTGATTTTCCAATAAAACAATAAAAGCCCCTCCAAATATGGGAGTTACATGGGAGTTACAAGCGTGTTATAACTTCCTTGTAACTTTCGTGTAACTCAGTTGTAACTCGCGCTTTTATTTTATCCATTGAGATTACAAGGTTACAGCGGGGTTACCCGGGAGTTACACGGGAGGTTACACGGGAGTTATACGGGAGTTACAACGGGTTATAACCCCCTTGTAATTCCCGTATAAACCCCGTGTACCCTATTATGTACACATCTCTGCGTACCCCTTGACGTACGCAAATTTTTTCCCCAAATATGAGAAACGAGCCAACTAAGGGTTGTCTACCAATCTAGAGTTCTCTTCATTGGAAAGAAAGATGTTGGGTATGTTTATGGTTTTAGTTGAGCGTGCATTTGTTGCTGAAATCCTATCAAATTTGAGGTTATTAGAATCTTTTATTTAAAGGTTGCAGAATAAAAATGTGGGTTGCTTTGTTTGTTGTATAGGAGCCTATCTGCTTACTTTTAGCTCGATGTATAGCTTTGCAAACAACTAGAAACAGCAATTCGTTGGTTGAATTTAAGCTATATTAAAAGGTGATTTTTGGGATCACTGCGAAGCAGAGTGGGAAAAAATTGCCACTTGGCATCTAGAGAGTTGTTTCCTCCCCAAAGTGCATAGGCCCGTAGACAAAGGTTTACACCTCGAACACCTGCCCAATATCTGAGACAATCTCCCCATATTACAAGTTAAATTAATTGACAAAAAGCAAACCGAACAACTATTTATTCAATTAAAAGTATGTTTTATCTGAACATTAGAGAAAATAACTCGAGGATGAGGATCATGAGAAGTGATGAAAGAAGATTTAGCTCATAGTTTGTTACTTGCTTCATTTTGAAGTCAAGTATCCTTGAAACTTTGACTGTGTTATTAGATTTTAGAGTAATAATACAATGCAATGACTGGACTTCAGATTTTGTAATCTAATTAGTTTTTCTTTTCCCAAAACTTATTTTCAATGATTCTTTTTCTTTTTGTGTGTGAAATATGGAAAATATAAAATTAATAGGGTTTATTGCCAACTTCATAATAGTTAAA